TGATTCTTCCTAACCATGAACATGGAATGTTTCTCCATCTGTTTGTGTCCTCTCTTATTTCGTTGAGCAGTGGCTTGTAGTTCTCCTTGAAGAGGTCCTTTACATTCCTTGTTAGTTGTATTCCTAGGTATTTTATTCTCTTTGTGGCAATTGTGAATGCAAGTTTGTTCTTGATTTGGCTCTCTTTAAGTCTGTTATTGGTGTATAGGAATGCATGTGATTTCTGCACATTTAAGAAAGTACTAAAGTATATTCGAGAACAGCTGTACTCGATATACTTTATAATATAAAATACATTCTCATCGGCAATGTATAAATGATCCAGTTTCTCCAGCATTTGGCACTACCGTTATGTTTTATTTTAGCCATTGGTAAGTCTGCAGTAATTTTTGATAGCTCCGTAGTAATATTGTGGTTTTAATGTTCACCTCCCTAATGGCTAATGATGTCGAATACCTTTTTCATGCACCCGCCATCTACACGTTGCTTTGGTAAAATCTTTGCTCCTGATTTTCTTTCAGTTTTTAAAATATTGTGGTAATTTATACTTAACCTAAAATCTACCTTTCTGACTGTTTTTAGGTAGAGTTTAGTCACATTAAACATACTAAATGTATTCATAACGTCATGCACCCATCACCGCCATCAGTCTCCATGGCTCTTTTCTCTTTCTTTTTTTGAGACAGAGTCTCCTTCTGTCACCCAGGCTGGAGTGCAGTGGCAGGATCACGGCTCACTGCAACTTCTACCTCCCAAGTTGAAGCAATTCTGCCTCAGCCTCCTATGTAGCTGGGATTACAGGCGTCTGCAACCACACCCAGCTAATTTTTGTATTTTTGGTAGAGGTGAGATATCTCCATGTTGGCCAGGCTGGTCTCAAACTCCTGACCTCAGGTGATCTGCCCGCCTCGGCCTCCCAAAATGCTGGGATTACAGGTGTGAGCCACCATGCCCAGATGGTTCTTTTCATCTTGTAAGATTAAAACTCTCTACCCGTTAAATACAAACTCCCGGTTCCCTCCTCTGCCAGCCCCTGGCAACCACCATTCTACTTTCTGTCTTTACCATTTTGAATATTATTTTGTTTTGAGACGAAGTCTCTCTCTGTCGCCCAGGCTGGAGTACAGTGGCTAGATCTCGGCTCACTGCAACCTCTGCCTTCTCTGTTCAAGGGATTCTCATGCTTCAGCCTCCCAAGTAGCTGGGATTACAGGTATCTAATTTTTGTATTTGTAGTAGAGACGTGGTTTCAGCATGTTGGTAAGGCTGGTCTTGAACTCCTGACTCGGCCGGGCAAGGTGGCTCACACCTGTAATCTCAGCACTTTGGGAGGCCAAGATGGCAGATCGCAATGTCAGGAGTTTGAGCCCAGCCTGGGCAACATGGTGAAACCCTGTCTTTACTAAAAATACAAACATTAGTCGCGCACGGTGGTGAGTGCCTGTAATCCCAGCTACTCAGGAAGCTGAGGCAGAATTGCTTCAGCCTGGGAGGCGGGGACTGCAGTGACCCCAGATCTGCAACCTCCTCCTCGGGGTCAAGCGGTTCTCCTGCCTCAGCCCCTCCAGTAGCTGGGATTACAGACGGGCGCCACCACGCCCAGTTAATTTTTGTATTTGTAGTAGAGACGAGGTTTCAGCATGTGGGCCAGGTGGCTGGGATTCCCCCGCCTCGCCCCAGATCCCCGGGAGAGGCCAGCGCGGCCCTCCCGTGGGTGTCACAGAGACAGATGCGATGCGGGTCCCTCTCCCTGGGAAGGGGCTGGCTGGATCCAGTCCGCAGGGTCCCTCTGGGGCTGACCTAGGATGGAGGTGAGGTGCAGCAGTGCTGGACCCAGGGCCCCTGCCTGCCTCCTGGGGAGCAGGTGATCCAGGCAGCCCCGGTGAGGCCGCGGTGTCTGGGCCCTAGCGAGGCCCCCGGGCTCCCACAGGACGGATGGGACAGGGAGGCCGGGGAGGCCCTGCTGCCCTCGGGACTGTCCCTCCAGTCCCCGATTTCCGTGGTTCTAAGGCCCCCTCTGCAGAGGGACCAGGGAGCCCGCCCTGCATCCTGAGGCGCCGCGCTTGAGGGACCCCAGAGCTCCGGCCAGGCCGCTTCCTTTGCGGATTGTGAAGCTGAGGTCCAGAGGAGGGCAGGGGCAGGTCCTGGAAGCTCCCCAGGCAAAGGGAGCCGATCTCGGGGCTGGGGTCACAGGGCTCCACTCCTGCCACCTCCAGGACAGACTGGGGCCTTTCGTCCACCGCTGGGGCTGGGCGGAGGCTCGGCCAGTGCCCCAACGCGAGGCTGCTGCTGTGCAGTCTGAGCCGCGGCCCCTTTAAGAGGGGGTGGTGCGTCAGCCAGTCGCTAGGGACGCTGCCAGCGTGCGCGCCTCTACGGAAAACGGCGCTTCCCGCGGGGCCGGTAGAAGCCGCTGCGTCTTGGTCAGAGCGAGCGAAAGCGGCGGCCAGAAGCTGCGACGCGGGACATGCCGGCAGAAGCCGCGGTGTCCAGAAGCGGCGTTCGGGGACCAGCCGGCAGATGCAGTGGCGTCCAGAAGCGGCGGCGCGGGACCAGCCGGCAGAAGCGGCGGCCAGAAGCGGCCGCGCGGTCCCAGCGAGCTTCGGAGAAGCTTTGGTGGCTTCCATGTGATGGGGCAGCAGGAGGCAGGCGTGCGCGGTAAGTGGCGGGACATGGACCCCACCGGGAACCCTCCGGGCCTCCCTGCTCCTTCCCCGCCGCTCCCTTTTGGGCCCTGACTCCTTGTGGGCCTCGGGGCCCCAGTGGTCTGCATGGCGGCGGTTGTGGGGTCCTGGCCGCCCCAGCATCCGCATCCCGGCCGGGAACGGCGTGCGACCCGCGTCCAGTGTATAGGAGCGCCTGTCCCAGAGGCTGCGGCGAAGCGCGGGACCTGGGACCCTCCGAGCCCCTGGGCCTCTGAGCTGAGGTCCAGGGTTATTTTGATGTCCCAGGACCTTTAGAAAAAGACCTCGCTAGAGCACAGTAGAGCAGGGGACATCTGTAGTGTCAATTCTCTGAGGAGTCTCCAGGTATTTAGCTGTTTTCCGTGGTGTGTATTCTGATTTCGTTTTCATTTACAGCTCGCTTTTCTCCAAAACCTTACCGGCGTTCCTTTTCTTTTTTTCCTTTGGAGACAATCTCGCGCTGCCCAGGCTGGAGTGCAGTGGTGCCATCTGGCCTCACTGTAACCTGCGCTCCCGGGCTCAAGCAATTTTCCCATCTCAGCCTCCTGAGTAGCCGGGACTACAGGGGCCCGCCACCACGCCAGGCTCATTTTTGTATCAGTGGTAAAGACGGGGCTTCTCCATATTGATCAGGCTGGTCTCAAATTCGACCTTGGGTGATCTGCTCCCTCGGACTCCCAAAGTTCTGGGATCACTGGCGTGAGCGACCGAGCCTGACCTCTCCTATTTTTAAAAACCTTTCTAGGAATATTCAATAAGTGTGAGATTATCTGTGTGTGGTTTTCATTAAACCACACACAGTTAACTTTGTTGGATAGTTAATTTTGAGGATCTTTTATCTGTTGTTCGATTTTATGTTGCAGAATTGTCTGTTCAGGTCCTTCGCGAAGTATTAGATTCTTTTGCTACTTTGTGGTATTTTTTGTGTACACCTAAGATGACAACTCATGAATTACATGATCATCCGAAATTTTGGTCTAATCTATATGATGCTTTTTTATTTGGAAAGTAGTTTCTTTGCTGTGCAGAAACTTTTCAGGTTGATGTAGTCCATGTTTATTTTTGTGTTTTATGCATGTAATTTTGGTCAGCCATATAAGAAAATACTTACCAGTGACAAAGCATTTAATTGTCAATGAGGTTTTTCTTCCAGGGTGTTTCTTTTTCTTTTTGCAAAGGTGAGCAAGAGATTCAAGTGACCCAGAATATGTGCTCAACCTGTGTTTTAGTTAAAAACAATTTGTGGTTTATGATCTTTTATTCGGGTCTTCGGGGTTTTTATTTGCTTTTTTGTTTTTTGCCAGGGGTGAGGGTGGGGTGTTGAATTTCAAACATCATGTCAAATCAGGGTCCTGTTTCTCTGTTCTGCATCCAGATACCATTTTTCTCAAAGGTATTCATTGAGCAGACTCTGCCTTCCACATTGTGGTGGTCTTTATCAAAGTGGGTTGACTGTGTTCATATTTGCGTTGATCTTGTTTTGTCCTCCCCGTTTTTGTCCACAGTTCTAGGTGTTGTTTTTATGCAAGTACCGTATGTCTGCTGCATAACTGCAGCTTGGCGGTGTGATTTAATATCGAGGATTGTGGGTCCTCACTTTGATTGTATTTCTCAGCATTCCTTTAGATATGAATTGCTCTTATGGTTCCCAGTGATTTTTAGCAATGTGTATTTATTTCTGTTAACTTTTGTTTTGCTACATAAAGGTGCATAATTAGGGGTACACTTTCACACATATAGATTGGGTAATGATCAAATCAGGGTATTAAGGATCTCTGTTCCCTCATAAGGTACTATTTTTGTGTGGCAAGAACACTCAAAATTCTTTTTTCTTGTTCTTTTGAAAAATATAATATTGTTAACTCCAGTCACCAGGCTGAGGAGGAGACCACTCAGATTTATTCCTTTAAGGTTGAGATAACATTGCTTCCATAACCAATCCCTACTCCCCCTCTATCTCCCAGTCCCTGGTAACCAATATTGCGCTTTCTACCTCTTTAAGATAGACATCTTAAGATTCAGTGTTTGTCTTTCTTGGCCCAGCTCATTACATTTAACAATGTTTTCCAGGTTTATCTGGGTTGCTCCACATGACACTGTTTCATTTTGTTGGCCGAAGAACATTCCCTATTGTATACATAACGAGAGTTTCTTGATCCCTTTATCTGTGGATGGACAGGTAGGTTGAATGTGTACCCAGTAGTGGGAATGCTAGATGGTATGGTAGTTTTCTTTTCTATTCTTTGCATGACTCCCAACTGTTTTTTACAGCGTTAATACTAATTTACGTTTCCACAAACAGTTCCCTTTGTGGAAATTCATACTAGAAGTTGTCTTTTTAAATATTATAATCTGTTTGTAATGTTCATTCTAGTTGGAGTGAGATAAGATCTGAGGGTGGTTTTGATCTTCATTTTTCTCATGCGTGGTAATGGTAACCACGTTTTTGCAAATGCTGGGTCAGTTTCTTGTCTGCACAAATATCTCTTCAGGTTATTTGGTTTGGTTATTTTTCTGCTTTTTTGGCCAGCTGGTATTGTTACTGGCTTGTACCTTTTGAAAAATAGCTTCTTATCCAACTGAATGTTTGCCCAAACTTTTCTCATAATTTTTAGTATGCTTTTTCATTTTGTTCATTGTTTATTAGGCACAGACTCTTCAGTTTGATGTGGCCCCACATGTGTATAATTTCTTGGTTATCTGTGCTGTTGGTTACTAATCAAGAAAAAACAAAATCACTACCAAAGCAGTCCATTGTCCATGATTTTCTTTTCCTTGTATTTTTGTTAGTTTTTGCAAATCGTGAGCATACATCCAAGTTGCAATAAATATACACACACCTGAGGTTGTCTTTATAAGAGCTTTATGGTTGCAAGTTTTGTGTATAATCTTTAGCCCTTTTCAGTTGATTATTGTGTATTTCATACCATAAGAGTCATGTATTATTCTTTTGCATATGGATACCTAGTTTTGAAAACCTTCCCCATTTTGTCACTTTGGTAGTGTTTTGAAAAATGTGTTCACTCTATATAAATTTGTGTTTATTATTTAACGCCCTCATTTTGCTCACTGGTCTGTATTTCTCTGTGTTTACCAGTGACTTATGGGTTGGTTAACTAGGGATTTTCATTTAATTGGAACTCAGGGAATGTGATACATGCCACATGGCTTGTTTCTCAGGATAACTTTGGAAATTCAGGGTGTTTCACATTTCCATGAGAATTTTGGCATTGTTTTCTTTATATATCTTAAAATACCATTTGCCATATATAAATGTATATAATTAGAGGGTACAGGGAAGATTTTGATACATGTATATGTTGAATAGTGATCAAATTGGGTTATTTAGCATCTCTTCACATTCTATACTTATGATTTTTTTGTGTGGTAATAACATTCAGAATATTTTCTTCTAGCTACTTTGAAACATATAATATACTTGTGTTAAGGCCAGTCACCCTGCTGTGGAATAGAAGACCAGAATTGATTGCTGTCATCTGAGGGTAACTTTTTACCCATTGCTGATTCCTTCCCAGATCCTCTCCATCTTCCCAGTGACCTCTAGTAACCCCTATTGAACTTTCTGCTTCTAGGAGATGAAGATGTTTTCAGTGCATGCCTGAGATGGTGTGGAATGGGACATTGTCTGCCAGGCTCATTCGTTGGACCTGATGATCTCCAGGTTTCTTCATGTGGCTCCAGATGGCAGGATTTCCCAGAGCTTTATGGCTGGAACATACTCATTGGTGTATCTGTACAGCAGTTTCTTCATCCCTGCAGCTGTGTGTGGACAGGTGGGCTGGTTCTGTACCCTGGCCACAGTTACAAGTGCCTCAGTACCCATGGAAGGCAGATAGCTCTCTTCAGCCCAGGGATTTCAACGGCTTAAAATGTGGAACCAGTGGTGGGGCTGCCAGCTAACATGATAGTTGTACTGTGAAGTTTTTCAGGAACCTCTTGCTGTTTCTCATAGTGTGTATACTAGTTTACATCTCCACCAATAGTGTCGAAGGGGTTACCTTTCTGTAAGTCTACACTGGCTGGCGCCTTCAAAAATGTGTGTTTTGTTTTTGGTAGTATTCATAGTGAGTGGAAGGAGACGGAATGTTAGCATGGTTTTCATGGACATTTTTGTGAGTATTCGTGATGTGGAGAAAGTCATTTGAGAAATCCCCACGTAGCTTTCCATGGTGTCTGAACTGGTTTGCATTTCCACCAGCAGCAGAGCAGCGTCCCTCTTCTCTGCCTCGCCTGCATTCGTTCTTGCGGACCGTGTCCTAATCGTCATTCTGGCCAGTGTGCAGTACTATCTCGTGGGCCTTTTGCTTTGTCTTTTTCTGATGATGACTGAGGTAGAGAAATGTTGTCACGTCTGTTGGTTGCTGTAAGCCTTCTTTTGAGGTGCATGTTTTCCTGCCCCTTGCCCTTTCTTCATTGAGTTTTTGTTTTCCTGATTGATTTGCTTAACATCTTTAAGGTAGATCCTGGATATTAGCCTTCATCAGATGCATGTGTGGGAACATTTTCTCCCATCGTGCAGGCCATCTGTTCACTCTGTTGGTCATTTCTTCTGTGCGGCAGCTCTTCTGTGTATTAGGTGCCACTGGGCGATAATTGTTTTAGTTGCACTTGCTTTTGGAGACTGAGACACATCCATGCT